TAAAAAAAATGATGGAGATATGAGCATGCATATTGCTGTGAAATAATGTTGAGGCTCTTTTTTCCTTTTCATCTTGAGTTTTGATAACTGGCATAGTGTTGTTTCCTCAGGTATTGATCATGTTGCACCAAAAGCTAACACAAGTGTACATAATATGCCTGAACATCACAACACTATGCCAGTTATCAAAACTCAAGATGAAAAGGAAAAAAGAGCCTCAACATTATTTCACAGCAATATGCATGCTCATATCTCCATCATTTTTTTTACTCTTTACCAACTTCAATAGCTGGTTAGCAGATTTTTGGGGAAGCCCTGGGCTTCAGATGCTGCCTTTAAATGCCAAGTTGGTCTACAATAAATTGTCTCAAACCTACCATTTTGGTGGGGATATGGAGCAAACCTGACATTTAGAATGAATCTCTGGCTGTGCCGAGAATGAGATGTTCCCCTAACAGAACTATGGCCTTCTAGGGATCAATGAAGGATAATTCCAACCAGACACAACATAGAGATGCTATTAAGGCCTACCTCATGGTTTTACAAGTGGTTAACAGCTTTATTTCTCCTTGCTTATTGTGTCCTCGGAGTGTCACTCTATGGCCCTGTTCCAGATCATTTGGCCCCACCTGAGACAGGGCGGCTCAGGTGATCATCTTCAGCCAGGCTGTGCAGCAGAATTTGTTTAACCTCTGACAGATAAAGTCAACCAGATTCATTCCCATGTGTGGAGCAAGTTCATGCAAGATGCCTGAGGAGTAGTCTTGCCCAGTTATGCGGGAACAATTTGACGCTGTTGAACCTGAGAAAGTGGACAAGGTCCTTGATGCTGCCAGCACCACCACCTGTCAGTTAGATCCTTGTCCCACTTGGATGGTGAAAGCTTCCAAGATAGTGACTGGCAGGTTAATTCAGGCAGTGATTAACACATCACTACAGGAGGGGAAATTTCTGGGGCCTTTTAGAGGGGCCCTGGCTCAACCCCCCCATTAAATAACCATCACTTGAACCCGCCTGCTTGGACAATTTTCACCTTGTTTCCTATCTTCCCTTTTTGGGTAAGGTGGTGAAAAATGTGGTTGCCTGGCAGCTTCAGAGGGTCCTAAATAAAAAAGATTACCTGGACTTCTTTCAATCAGGATTCAGGCTTGGTCATTGGACCAAAATGGACATTGGTCACGCTTGGTCTCTGATGAAAGTGTGATTGGGGTAATGCAACCATCCTTGCTCTCTTTCACTCTTTGGCCGTGGCCTTCAGTACCATTGACAATGGTATCCTTTTTGGCTGGCTATGAGGGCTGTGGCTGGGTGGCATTGTTTTGTGCTGTTTCATTTTCCCAGGCTGCTCCCAATCAGTGTCAATAGGGAGTGAGAGATTCAGCCCTCAGCCACTATCCTGTGGCATGCAGCAGGGCTCAGTACTGTCTCCATTCCACTTTAACATCTACATGAAGTCACTGGGTCAGACCATATGTAACCATTATTTAAGCTATCTAAATTATGATGATCCAACTCTACATTTCCACCTCTGGTGGCCCACGTGATGCTGTTGCTACCCTCTCATGATGCCTGGAGGCTGTGTAGGCCTGGAAGGAGGACAACAGGCTTTGACTGATCCCTGGCAAGACCAAATGGCTTTGGGTGCATGGTGTCCCAAGATCCAGGATTTTGACATCTATAGCTTTGGATTGCTTAGCACTACCCCAGGCAGATCCAGACCTCAAATTGGAGGGTCTCCTGGACTCGTGACTCCTGCTTGAAGAACAGATGGCAATTGCAGCTAGGAGAGCTTTTACACAATGTCATGTTGTGTACCAGTTGCAGCCCCTCCTGGGTCAGGAGTGTCTGCACTTGGTCTCTCAAGCCCTATTCATCTCACGGCCGGACTATTACAACACACTCTATATGGGGCTGCCCTTGAAAAATATTTGAAAGCTACAGGTAGCACGGAGCGCAGCAGGGCAGGCAGTTCTTGGGGCCCAAAGGGTGGCCCATGTAACACCACTAAGTGAGCTGCCCAGGCTACTGGTTTGCTTTCAGATATAATTCAAGGGGTTGGTAATCATCTTTAAAGCTCTTCATGGCATTGGTCCAACATCCAGGCTACTTGAAAGACAATCTCATCCCACTGGGATTGGCACGCCCAACCTGTGCTGGCAGAGGAGATGTGCTGTGGGCCCCATCAGCCAGAGTGTTCTGGCTGGTGGGGTCCAGGAGAAGGGCTTTCTCTGCCAGCACAGGCTGAGCCTTTCCTTGGAACATCTTGCCCTCCCTCCCACTGAGTGGGGTTGGCTCCAACCCTCCTGACTTTCCACAAAAGCTTAAAGACTTGACTCTGCCTGTTGACTTGGAGCTCCAGTGGAGGGTTTTCAAATTTGGGGTGGTTGATAGATTAATAACAGATACAACCTCCTCACTTCTCATCCTACTCTCTCCATCCCTCCTCATCTTTTAGTTAGGGCTGAATAATTGGATTCTAGTATTTTATTTCTATCATCTAGGTTTTGCATAGTTTTATCTTTTAATATTGTAAGACGCTCATAGTTACTCTTGTGCTATGTTGGGTGGCCAATACATTGTACAAATAAATAAACAAATACACAAATGAACAAATGAATTGAGTTTGGAAAGATTTAAATATTCAGAGGACAGGTGGCCATTGACCTCTTCCAAATCATTGAGACCCTAAACTAGATAGATAGTATTAGAAGACCCATTAAGCTCTTTATAGGGTTAATTGAACCATATGCTCCTTTATTTTATTCCCTGACCCTCAACAACAATGGCCCCATAATCCAGATCTGTGTCTGACTGCAAGACATTGTTCTTGAATCACCTCACTGCTAATCTTTGTTTAACCAGGACGAGGAATTTGAAACAATGACAGCCCTCCAGTTACAGCTTATTGAATAATTTCCATTACATAAAGTATAGCTTATGTGTTTGCACATAAATTCAATCTAAAGAGGAAATGGCCATAGCGTATATATTTAACAGGATATCAAATATTTAGAATACTTCAGAAAATATTTTCATTTTAAGCAGTCAGGAATAGGCAAAGAATCAGCAATAAGAAACTCTTTGATATCTTATCAGCCGAGCTCCATAGATAAAACTTTGCAAGTCCAAAACTTTACATTGTGATCTGTACAAAGTTATTTACCCATTGAATTGTTTCTATTACCACTCCTGCAGTAGAATCAATGCACATATATATGCAACTGTACAAAGGGTTAGCTAGCCATAGCTCGGTTTTTACCTCAGCTGCACCAAAGGTAAGATTCAGTTTTTTTTCGGGCGTAGATTTAATTCG